AGCAGCTGAACAACTAAACTGCTTCCAGCTTGAGGAAGAATTAATAGAAACAACAAACGTGGCAGAACCTTGTTTTTGAAACCTTTAACACAATTTTTAAAATAAATCCCTGCCATTTTGAAAATATGACTGCAGATGATTTTTTTTTTTTGGTGTCCTTCTGTAGTGCAATAAGTGCATCACTTACCTCACTGGAGGCCACATGCTGATACATCTGTGCTGTGATGATGACCCTAAGCAAAAATCCAAATTTATGTTGCAGAGGGAAAAACTTCCCCTTTCTGCTCCACCTTCCTAAAGCTGAACTGTGCCCGCCCGTGACAGCCACCAGATTGTTTTCAAATGCTTTGACCCTGATTTTTCTGAGGCCTTGACTGTCACTGATTTAACCCAGAAACTAAAAACACCCCAACAACTCGTTCTTTTCTTGGTGCTGGGTTGGGATAGATCTTTACCCTGCAGATTGAGATAAAATCTCAATCTGAGACTGCACCCAGGGAATAGCAAAGAATGGAGTTATTTCCCACCATCCACACAGTCAGAACCCTGTTTAGTGCAGGAAACACTGCTCTCCTGGTTGATAGGGAGTGTGAAGCTCATTTGTGTTAGGAAGAGAAGTAGATTTGACACAGATTTGACATATTTCCTTCGAGCATCCCCAGATTTGGTGGCTGCTGGGAGGAGGAGGCAGGGGAGAGTTGTGCACTGGCGTGAAGCAGTAAATCAGCAGGGTGCCATCATTATGGATTTGCTTTGCTAATAATAAAAGGAATTAATCACTCCTGCCATGATATCCATATCTGCACTGGAGTAACCGCGGTGGCAGAGCGCGGTGAAGACGAGCGCAAGGCTGGGCCCCGGTGGCTGGCAGCTGACATCTGTGGATTTGGGGTTGTTATGTGTAGTTGATATAATTAATGCCATTTCTAGTATGATATATGTGATATTGAATATTTGTTGGAGTATACACGTTTGTATTAGGACTCCCCACCACCCTCACAGGCGAAACCTGGTGTATGTTAGAACCCGATTTACACGTAAAAGGATGTGGCTCGGCCAGGAGATAGGCCATGTGTGGAGAGATATGGGGACGCCAGGAGATGGGACATGAGATATGGGGACACCAGGAGATGGGCCATGTGTGGAGAGAAACAGGGACACCAGGAGATGGGACATGTCTGGAGGGATATGGGGACACCAGGAGATGGGACATGAGATATGGGGACATCAGGAGATGGGACATGAGATATGGGGACATCAGGAGATGGGACATGAGATATGGGACACCAGGAGATGGGCCATGGCTGGAGAGATATGGGGACACCAGGTGCTGATCATCGCGTGAATGACCCAGGATGGATATCATGGAAATCCTCAGGCAGATCCATGTGAATGCAGCGTTCCCGTAAATTTCATCATGGGATTCAACAACTCCAGACACTGAATTGTTCTTCCTCATCACCAAAAAAGAAAATCTCATTAACCTATGGACTCTGAATGGAAGAAAAGACTGACTGCCGAAATCTTGGCCTCAGGCAGCATTTTCCCTATAAAAACCCCTTGTGCCAGGATGGAAGTGTGGGCACAGAGGAAACCTCTGCTGAGGCTGACTTCTGGTGCCGACCCCGGGCTTGGCTCTGTTCTTTCCTTGTGGCTGGCTAGATAGAATTTGATTGCAAAATAAATATTTTACTTTTTCATTTTAATTTGGCTGGACAAATTTTCATTTATAACAGGGTGCTTCACGGCACTTCGCTGTGTTTGTGATCACCTCCCTGCCAGGGGCTGCACATCTCTCACCCAGCAAGCAGCACGGGCTCCCAACGGGAAGGAAAATTCCCACTTGTTGCACCAAAGGCTCTTCAAAGCGAGCTGAACCCTCCGTGTGAGCCCCGGGTCAGCAGCACATCAGAGCAGAGAGACTTCCCCGGGTCACTCCAGGCCAGCTGTGGGAAGAAACCCCAGACTTGCTCTATTCTAACAGGGCTAAAAATAGACCTGTGATGATTTATGAACTTTCAAAGGCAGCAGAGTGTTTTTAAGCAGCAGCAGCTTCTCCTGCTTCCCTGCTCGGCGCCAGGGCTGTGTCCACCCTGCCCTGATGGGAACCAGCCCCTCCAGGGTGCTCACCAAACAGAATTAAACAAGACCACAAGAACAAATAAAAAGGCAGTGATCTATTTGTCTTGTGGGTATTATCCTTCCTTCACTCCGCCTCGTCTTTACCCCTGAGTTTCAAATATTCTTTTTTTTAAATCAACTCCACAGAACTGTCAGACAAAGTCAGCTCCTGAAGCCAAGGTAAATAAATCACGTGGCACCAGCATATTTACAAAATTACTCTGAAATTTTGCATCTCTGGGAGAAATTTTATGTGTGCTCACCCCTCATTTCCAGCTGTCCCTGATGGGGCAACACAGGAGTGAGTTTGAAACCAAGGAAATGTTAATTCCAGTAAATAAAGACAGTAACAAGAAAGCCTTTCATGCATGAAGAGGTCCAAGTATGGGAACCAAGGTGGGCTCTGCTCGCTGGCTGCTGTCCTCACTCTGGAACAAAGCTCCTCAGCCAAGGGCTGGAAATCAGCACTCAGGAATCAAGCACTGGTGGGGTTAACACTGGAAAATCAAGGCAGGACCCCCTGGAGGAGGGTGGCCGAGGTCTCAGCGAACCACCCCAGGGGTAGAGGTGTCCTTGTGGCCCAGGGCAGAGGACACTCACCCTTGCCAGGCACACCTGCCCTCCTCAGCATCCCCGTGAGCTCAGGTGAGGGGCTGGCAGCCCCAGGCATCCCTGTTAACCCATGGAGAGCCAGGCTTTGGAGGCTGCAGCATCTCAGGAGGCTGCCTGCACAGGTGAGCTGCTCCTCTGCTGTCATTCACATTCCCTACACACGTTTGGTCGTTGTGGAGAGCAGAACGAGCTTAAAATTCTGGGAGCGCCAGACGGGCTGGGAGAGAGCTCAGCTCCACTGCAGAAGGATGGGAAAATCCTTCCAGTTCCAGAGGTTTGCCAGGATCATTCGACTCCAGCTACCTGCAGGCACACCCCGCTTCACTCCCACCACCCAAAAGCTGTGGGGTTTTGGGGCAGGAGACCCTCAGAGCCTCTAAACACCTCAGTGGTGTTGAGAAACACACCCAGAGTTTGGGGGGGCTTCCTGCGAAGGGATGCTTCCTGAGATCCCCCAAATTCTTGTCAGAGGGGTTCGGCTGTGCCAAGAGTTCAGCACGGGAGGGAGAGGTTGCCGCTCGCCAGTGGAAGCCATTGTCTCCAGCAGGCTGCCAAGGGGAAATTAGCGGTGTGCACACCTCTAAATGAGGCTGTACAGCGAGGAAAGAGGGATTAGCCGTGTAAACTAAGTCCTTTTTGGTATTAGATTAAAGAGGGGAGGTGACTTTGAAGGATTATTCAAGAGCCATTTAAGCAGTTTTCAGGGACTTACAAACGCAAGGTAAAAATGCAGCTCCCTCAGATCCAGAAAAGAAGCAAAATTCAGTTTCCCGTCCAGAATAAGCTTCTGGAGGACCCCGTTAAGTGCAGGCCCCCACCATCATTCTGCTCCCCACGCTCGGTGCTGGCTGTGGAGCCCGGCTGCAGCATCACCTGCACACCTGGGCTGGAGCTGCTGCGGGAGCCACAGGGACGGGGAAGGGGCTCCGACAGCCCCGGGGATGGCTCACGGCACCCCTGGGCACGCTGCCAGCACGGGGGCACAGCTGGCACTGCGGGGCAGGGGGTGCTGCATATTGGAAAGGAGCTCCGGAGTATCGCCACCATCGCAAGAGGAGCTGCCACCAGTCCCCGCTCCCACCATCCGCTGGGATGCAGGTCCCGAACCGAGCCATGGAAACCGGAGGATAGGCGAGCACAGCCACAAAAACTGACTTCTGCCTCCAGCCAAACGTCCCCTGCTTCCTCACACCCCAGGGTGCCTCACCAGCGTGCTGGCTCTTAATCCTCTGCCCAAATTAATCCAGCCAGGGAGAGGAATACGTGGCTCCAAGACACCAGGCTGCTCTATCGAACCAGCCCTCCACGGGGAAAAAAAACCCTTCTTTGGCTTAGCCTAAATTAAGGTGACGGGTAATTAGTATGTAAGATACAAACTATTGCCACTTGTTATGCAAGCAGCATCCTTTAATTTGTAGTTTCGAGCGCAAGCCGTTCCTGTCTGGGATAAATAAAACAACACGCTGCGGTATGTTGCTCACGACACGGGAGCAGCAGCAGCCTGGGGAAAGCAAAAGGAGCTTCAACTCCAGCCGGGAACGCGGCTGGAGCCGGCAAAAAGTTCTGCGAGCGCCTGGAGCAGCCTAGCGGGAGCATCCCCGCGTCCGCCTGCCGGGATGCGCCCGCTCCCACTCGGGGATGCTCCGGCTCCCACTCGGGGATGCTCCGGCTCCCACTCGGGGATGAGCCCGCACTGACTCGGGGATGCTCCGGCTGTCACCCAGGGATGCTCCGGCTCCCACTCAGGGATGCTCCGGCTCCCACTCGGGGATGCTCCGGCTCCCACTCAGGGATGCTCCGGCTCCCACTCAGGGATGCTCCGGCTCTCACCCAGGGATGCTCCGAATCCCACTCAGGGATGCTCCGAATCCCACTCAGGGATGCTCCGAATCCCACTCAGGGATGCTCCGAATCCCACTCGGGGATGCTCCGGCTCCCACTCGGGGATTCTCCGGCTCCCACTCGGGGATGCGCCCGCTGTGGGTCCGGTGCTCCGCGGCCACCCCACCCGGGGGGCTCTGCGCGACCCCGCGCACGGCTCCGCGCTCCGGCGGCACCGGGGGAACCCCGGCGGGCACCGCGCTCCCCTCCTCCGGCTCCGCATCCCGCCCGCGCTCTCCTTCCCCCGCGCCGCAGCCTTGCTTAAAAATCCCTTATTTACACCTCATTTCTCTTTTTTTTTTTTTTTTTTTTAATTTTATTTTTATTTTTCCCCCCCGTTTTAAATCTGCCTCCCTCCTCTCCGTGCCGAGCCGAGCCGCGCTTACCTGGGCGGGGAGGGGGGGACATGCCCGGCCCGGCGCGGCTCCGCGGGTGCGGCGCTGCCCCGAGCGCGGCTCCGCAGCCCCGAGCGCGGCTCCGCAGCCCCGCGGCCGCAGCATTGAGCGGCAGCGGCGGGAGCCGGGCGGGCTCCGCGCAGACCCCACCCCCGGCCCCGCCGTGCGCGGGGGGCGGGCGGCGGAGCGGCGGCGGCCGCTTTAACCCTTCCCGCCCCGCCGCTGTCCGCCCGGTGCGCCTGGAGCAGCCTGGAGGGAGCAGCCCCGCATCCGCCTGACGGGATGCTCTGGATCCCACTCGGGGATGTGCCCGCTCCCACTCGGGGATGTGCCCGCTCCCACTCGGGGATGTGCCCGCTCCCACTCGGGGATGTGCCCGCTCTCATTCGGGGATGTGCCCGCTGTCACTGAGGGATGCTCCGGATCTCACTCGGGGATGTGCCCACTGTCACTGAGGGATGCTCCGGATCTCACTCGGGGATGCGCCCGCTGTCACTCAGGGATGCTCCGGATCTCACTCGGGGATGCTCCGGCTCCCACACCGGGATGTGCCCGCTGTCACTCGGGGATGCTCCGGCTCCCACTCAAGGATGTGCCCACACTCACTTAGGGATGCTCCGGCTTCCAACTCAGGGATGCTCCGGCTCCCACACCGGGACATGCCCGCACTCACTTAAGGACTCTCCGGCTCCCACTCAGGGATGCTCCGACTCCCACTCAGGGATGTGCCCATTCTCATTCAGGGATGTGCCCGCTCTCATTCAGGGATGCTCCGGATCTCACTCGGGGATGTGCCCACACTCACTCGGGGATGCTCAGTATCTCACTCGGGGATGCTCCGGCTCCCACTCGGGGATGTGCCCGCTCTGACTCAGGGATGTGCCCGCTCTCACTCGGGGATGCTCCGGCTCCCACTCGGGGATGCTCCGGCTCCCACTCGGGGGTGTGCCCGCTCTCACTCAGGGATGCTCCGGCTCCCACACCGGGACATGCCCTCACTCACTTAGGGACGCTCCGGCTCCCACTCAGGGATTCTCCAGCTCCCACTCAGGGATGTGCCCGCGCTCACTCAGGGATGCTCCGGCTCCCAACTCGGGGATGCTCCGGCTCCCACTCAGGGATGCGGCAGCTCTCGCTGCTCAGCCCCATCCCCTGCCCTGCCCCCGGCTCGCTTTGCTGCAGCCCAGGTGCGGCACCCCGAGCCCGCTCCCGTCGCACTCGCCGCTTTTCCCCATCCCCGACCAGCCCCGGTCCCACTAAAGGAGACCACAGAAGTCCAAATTACCGCTCGCGGCTTTTGTTTATTTATTTATTTCCCCCTCGGCGCGTTACCCTCCGGCTTTAATCCCAGATTTGCTGTAATTATTTCGCTCTTTAAAGGGAGCCTCTCCTCACCCGCCTGCTCTGCCAGCCTCTCGCTCAGCCCTTTGCATCCACCGTCTCCTTCCATCCCCTTCCCGCGCCTCCTTATCCAAGAAATGCGTGTGCAGTGCAGGGAGATGAGGAGCACAGCGCACCTGGGTACCAGCCCGGCTGCTCCCAAGCTCTGCTGGCCTCCCTGTGCCCAGGGATGCTCCCAAACCTTCCTCAGGATCCCTCATCGGGGTCTCTGCTTGCTGCTGCAATGCAAATGAGCAGCCACAAACTGCTTTGAAAGTCATGAGTTCAGGCTTAATAAGCAGCATAATGTGAAGGCACACAGAAAAGGGGAAAAAAAATATTCAGAAGTGAATGTGGGACCTACCTTTCCCCCTGTCCCAAAATCCTGTCCTGGGAAGCTCTCTTAAATGCCTGTGCAAAAAAAAACCTTGCAGTGCAAAGAGGGTATTCAGTCTTAACTGTGCCTCCCTTGGGTTTTGAGGGATTAAGTGAAACCCTTATTATGTTTAATTATCTCTGGAGTTGCTCTCTGTGCTTGCTGCCTTGCTTTATGGTTTAATAAACTGCACGTCGATAGAAACGGAATGACAATTAACGTTAGTGCAGGTTGGGTTGGGGCTTACTGCTGCTCACAGGTTCCTCCTGACGTGCCTGCACTTGGGTGGTTCCTCACAACCTATCAGAGCTTCTTTGGGCAGCTCAGGAGTGTGGCTGAACCTGACACAGGGGTCAGCTCTGCAGGTCCAAGGGCTTGTGAGCTCTGACAGCACCCTGGAGCACCTCCAGGCTGATGGACCAGCTGTGGTTGGCACAATCCTGAGCAGTCCTTGGGTACATCTGGTGTCCTGGGAATGCTCAGCTCATGGAATCATGGTTGGGAAGGACCTCTGAGATGATCAGGTCCAACCTTGGTGATGGAGGATGGCCCTGCACACAGCTCAGTGCTCCTGCAGAGAGCAGGAGGGGCTGGTGCTGCCTTTGCTGAGAGTTTCAGGCTGGGCCCAAGAGCGAATTGAAGCCTAGAGGAGGCAGGAGTGCTGCACTGAGCCATGCATGGAGGAATCCCCTGGTGGTTTGAAATGTTATATAAATGTTGTGTTTTATTTGTGTAATCTCCTCCTGATTTATACAGGAGGGGAGCCTGCTCAGCAATCCAAAATAAAGTTGAGCACCAAGTGTTTTCAATTTGGGAGCGCCTGTGTCTCCAAGGTCACCTCATCAATCCTGGCACCGTGGCATGGCGCTGCCAATCTGCGTGGGGTGTAATGGCTCTGGAGGGAAATCAGGCTGGAAACGCTGCTGAATTTTTCAAAGGGGGCATGCATTGAATGCATCATCATCATCATCATAACCCAGCTGAGCGTGCAATGTCCTCGCAGGCAGCGGGAGAAACATCTCCCACCCTCGGCTGGGTGGCAACCCAGCAAATGAGAGCTGAAAGGTGAAGGCAGGGCGGCGGTGGGAGCAGACAGATGGCTTCCCTGGAAAGCCTTTTGCTTGTGCCACCTTCCCTGCACACCTTTAACTCACCCTTGAGTGAACAAGCAAACCAGGTCACCGGCTTTTTGATTTTTTTTTTATCCCCAACAAATCCACAAATAAGGCCAAAGGTAGAAGAGTCAGCAGTCAACGCCTCCCGTTGAAAATTCAGACATATTCTCTTGAACAAATAATCTCAAATACTTCATAAATCTGGCAAGGAGAAGCGCCTGGCGGGTTTTTACGCTGGGTTGTAGCAGCAGAGCTGACACTTTGAATCAAGCCTTACAGTGCGACCTTCAGAAACTCCTGCACCGCCCGGACTGACAGCGGGAGATCCCACCAGAGCATCACCGGGACATTTAGCACGCCCGTGTTAATTAGGCACAAACAAACCACTCTGAATTGCCACGAGTGTGTGTGCACAGAGCCACGCTGGAGGCAGAGCTGGCCCCAAGTCCCACCCTGGGACACCGTCACGGAGAGTCCCCATGATGCCTTAAAATTTCAGCTTTGATATTTTCCATCTATTTGTACCCCTGCAGTTCTTTAGGGTGTAACTCCAAACTCCACACACAGTGTGAGCTGCTGCTTCCCCATTTGGGGCAGACACAACAATTCCTCTCCAGGCCTGGCAATCAAGGACACCTCAGTGCCTCAGGCCAGAGAGATGGGAACAAAAGTGAGTTGGGGGAGCAAACTTGGGGTCAGTGACTTCATTACCTGCAGCTGGAATTGGGAGATTCACCCTCAATATTCAAATGGACCAAAACTTATCAAAGTGTGCAAACCTGTGACCCGTTTTCCATTTCAGGGTGTAACCTCTGGGGGGCTTTGTCTGCCCTAAATGTGTCCAAAACCCTTCAATAAATAGAACAGCTTTTTATTCCCTTAATTCTTAAATCCTCTGCTTTTAGGCAATCCCAAAAAAGCATCCCCCAGGCTGACCCCGGTGTGTGCCTGCATAGAGGAGTAAACCCAGCCCTGCACAGCCCTGCTACAAGCAGGAGTAGAGGTGGAGCAGGCAGGGCTGTGATTTATGGCTGCTGAACTCGCAGCCTGAGCTTGGCAGAGGCTCCTGTGTTTAGGCTGCAGTTTGTGTAAATCTTAGGAAAGGTTTGGGCACGGTGTTACTGATACAGTAAGAGTTTGGTAAGCAATTCTGCTTTAAATGACTGCTGCAAAACATCCCCAAGGATTACACTGGGGTTTTGTCTGACCTTTAATTAAAATACCAAGGCTCTTTTCACTTGGTGATGGCTATTTGTAAAGTCCTCTAGGTTTTGTTGAAGTCCTGCTTGTATCTCGGTGATATCTCAGGGAGCAATGCAGCTCACAAGGAATTTTGGAGAAATCTGCCCTTTTTTTATCATCACCAGCTTTGCATTGTATGAGTTTCATTTTAGGACAATGCATCAAATTGATAATTTTGTATGTGATGCAGTAAGAAAAGTGTAATCAGCAAACGCTTGAGAATTATTCGTGGGTGGGATCTGTAAATATTCCTGAGTCCACAGCTTTGTGACACCACAGGTGGGGATTTGTAGGGAAATAAATCCTTTCCACAAGGTTGAAGTGGAAAAGTGGTGGATAAATGGCCTTAGAGGCTGATGTCCTTTTTGGGAGCAGGGAAAAACTGAAACAAACCCTTGGTGTTGTGCCAGCATAAATCAGTGACTGTTTCAGAGATCCACATTCCATGTTTGCTCCTCATTTTTTGGCCAAAGATTCCAGCTAGTGCCAATTTCAATGGGTTATTTAAAAAATATGGATATTTAGCACTGACAAATAGCTGAGAACCAAAGATCTAAACTTACACACTTCACTGTCCAAGCACAAAAAACAGCTTTCAAGGCACAGATTCCTAAAGGAATCTTAATTTCTTTAGTTTAATTCCAAATTCTTCTGGTCTATAAAGTCTCTGGAAGACAACAGCAATTCTGTCTGAATCAAGGAGCCCAGCAAAGGACCAAAACATCATAGCTGGGAAAGTGTTTCATAGTTTAAAAAACTCAGCTTAAGTAGAGACTGAGTCCAGAATCTTCCCATGTTTTTTGTTGGACTTTCTGTACCCAAACTCTCCCTGAACCTTTTAGAATTTCCTTAAGGCTCAAACTTCCTAATAACAGTTAATAATAATGCACATTTTTTATGACCAAATTGTGGAATTTGGAATTTTTTAAATGAAAATTATGTGATTCCCCAAAGGTAAAACAGTAATTTATAACTCTAAATTAAGGCCTTAGGTTGAAAAACAAAGAAAAAGCAGAATGGGAGAACCCTGAAGCTTCTCAGTCTAATAATTAGAAATTATTTTTTTGGTTATTAAAATTCTAAGGTGACAGGCGCTGCTAC